ACACACATACATACAAACAAGAACAAAATCATACACCCCCCCAGCAACCAACCTCCCCCCTGATCCCCCTGTCCCAGAAAAAGTTCTGTCCAAGCTCCCTCCACCACTCAACCAAACACAAGGAAAGGCTGTTTAAAGAGTTTAGCGAGTCGCCGCAGCAGCTCACTGAACATTCAATAGATGGCTGAACAGTCGTTTTTTAAATGTTTATTATTATTTTTTCTTAAATACTGGAAACATTCATTAAATAGCTCGGACGTTAAGGTTAAATAATGCGGTGTCACCCGACCACCTCAAGAGGCGTTTCGTGGTTTGAGGTGTTAAGTGAGCTTTAGCAGCTGAACCCTGGAGTGGAAAAATAAAAAAATAAAGTCACACAGGACGTTGTCGAAAACCATCCGTTTCACTCTTCCTCTTCCTCGTTAAACGCAGTCTCAAGATACAGCAGCCGATCGGGGATAAAGTCTTTTTAAGGAAAACAGCAGCCTTTTTTTTTTGGTGATAGGCTCCTCAGCTAGCTAGCGCGGGGCCCATCGTCATGACAGTACAGCCAACATTCACGTCACTTAAAAACTACATTTTACCGGAGCCCCCGAAACTATACTCTCCCCCGCCGCCTCGTCTTCCCCTCTCTCTCTCTCTCTCTCTCTTCCTCTCATATACAGGATTGCTCTGCCTCTATACGCTGTGTCTCTTTTATCAGCAGTTCTTTTAGCTAACCTTTGATAAATGCTTCAATACATGGAGAAAGTAAACTCCTACACACCAAGAAGAGTACACACCAACCTGACAACACATAAATATCATGGCATATCATATCATAGGTCATGTCATATATTATAGTTTATTACTACATTTAAACCTTTGTTCTCTTTCCTACCGTTTCTACCCTCATATGTTGATTATAAACATTAAGCAGTACCCTGATCTCCTCTTCTGGCCCATTTTTGGCCCGGGTCGGCCTGATTTGGCCATTTAAATCGGCCTGGTTTGGCTCACATGGTGCAGGATTTGTCCAGTGGTGGGGGCAGAGGCGGGGTGCTGCTCTTGGGTGGGACCATAGGTTTTGGTCTAAGGGCCGGGGGCCGCAGCGGAGCCCCGATGCGAGCGGCTGCCACGGGTTTGAAGGAGCCCAGGGTGTCGGGGGAAGGGTTGGCCGGTCTTGGCGGTCCGGGCGGAGGTCCGGGGAGCGGGCTTAGGGGGCTCAGAGGGCTTAGGGGGCTCGGGGTGCCGGGTGTCCCGGGCGTCCCGGGGGTGCCGGGGGTTCCTGGTGTGCCCGGGGTGCTGGGGGTGCTGTGGGGGCTGGGAGACTCAGAGGAGCAGGCGGTCATGGGCCCATTCTTCACCTGCTCCAGAGTGTCCAGCACCACGTCAGGAGCCGGCCGGCAGCCCTGCCGCTCCAGCTGCCTCAACTCCCCCAGAGCCACAGTCACCGTCTCCTCGATGTCCTGCAGGAGGACGACAGAGGAGGCCATGAAGACTTTTTTGGCCACTTGGGGGCAGCAGAAACAAGTTGTGAACACTGACATATAATCACCTTTATTGTTGAAATGACAAACTTATTGCTTATTTACACATCCAGCCGTTACGGAGCAACATTATCATTAATTTGGATTCGTGTAAGTCCAATATTCGCCCTCTTTTAGCTCTGTTTTGGTCTCTTTAGCTGCTTAATGCTCCACTATGTTCACCAGCTCGTCTCTAACTGTGTCTGCTGTCTGCAGGCAGTGAACTGTGAGTACTTACAGCTTTTTCTCTGAAAACGACGCCATGAGAGCGAAACCAGGACAGTAAAGTTGTGGTCAGACAAACAATAAACTAAAACTCACTATAAAGCTCTGTAAAGCCGAGAGGAGCTGCAGGTTCAGCTGATGATTCTCTGTTGGTTCATCACTGCGAGAGTTGATTATACACACTGTTCCTTTAATCCATTAATTATTGATTAATGCAGCTGTAATCAATGCGGCCTATGTAAGCTAGAATAATATGTGTGTACCTGTGCCAGAGTGTCGGGGTCCAGCGCTCTGGAGCGATGGGAGTCACTGAAGCCGTGCTGCCCGCTGCTCGAGCGCCGGATGGGCGTGTCCTCCGGCCTCCGCAGCGAATCATGCCGGCTCACCGTCATGGTCACGGCGGCGGCAGAACGGCGGCGCCGCTCCGGACTATCAAGGGGCGGGGTCAAACCCTGACCTCGTCCCAGCAGCAGCTCTCGAGGGCTGAAGTGACCCGTCACCGGTGGAGAGCTTCGCTCCATCACCCCTCCGTTACCGTGGCAGTGGCTGTCGTTAGAGCGGCCAAGGGGGCGACGGAATAAACCGTCGGTCCGCTTCCTCCTGTGACTGCAAACAGGAAATAGAAATGTTATTAGTTCAGTAACAGTAACTCACGAATGAGGGGTGATGATAAAGTAGAGGATGATTTAGAAGATGTACATATATTCTGTATACACTGTATAGTAATACTTTACTACTACTGCAGGACTTTTACTTGTAATGTATATTAGTACTTGAGTAAAGGGTCTGAATACTTCTTCCACCATTGTTGGACACAGGTATCTCTCTAACAAAAACACACAAGGCTGCACAGGATGAAGTTACCGGCACACAAGTTAGGTAATGTACAGCGTGTTACATTTAGAATATTTATACTGCTTTACCCTGACGTCAGACAGGAAACTGAAGCCTTGTATCGCTCTCTCCAACGCCACCAGACTCCTTTGACAAAAACAGTCATTTAACCTCAGGAATCACGGGAGGGTTGCTGGTTCAACGCTGCCTCAGTCTGTTTGTTTGTTTGTGTTATTGTGTGATTTCTGTGTACTGAAGTTAGCTGCTGCGGATCGAGGCGGCGGGGAACCAGCAACTCCTCTGTTCTGTGACATAAAATCACTGTTTTTGTCAAAGGAGTCTGGTGGTTATGAAGAGAGGATAGATTGATATAAATGCTGTTTTTCATCATAAAGGGGGATCAGATGGCAAAGTAAAGTGGTTAAATATCCTAAATACACTAACTGATATTGTTTTTGTTTATTTACTATGGATAAATACCTCATACAGTCTCCCTTCAAAAAACTAACTGACTAATATGCTCTCTTCACCAGACTCCATTTACAAAAGCAGCGATTTTATCTTACAGGACACAGGAGTTGCTGGTTCCACCGCTGCCTCGATCTGCAGCAAACTAATGTTAGTACGGATCCAAACTAATATGTTAAAACACCAAAGTCACACAACAACACAAACATACAAACAGATCCAGGCAGAACTCCTGTGTATGTGAGATTAAATGACTGTTTTTGTCAATGGAGTCTGATGGAAGTAAAGCAGTGAAGATACAAACTGATACTGATTTTGTCCCTCGTACAACTCCGCTTTAATTTATTTTTATTTATTTATTTATTTTATTATTATTATTTTATAGAAGAAAACCGATTGATCGTCTGCTCCCCCCAAAGTCAAACTGACCCGACCGGTCGCAGTCGATGTTTACTTCTCATGTTATTGAGCCCAAAGTCTTAATCTGTCTATTACTGTCTGTCTTTATCTGCCAGCGCCTCACCCTCCCTCCCTCCCTCCATCCCTCCCTCCATCCCTCCCTCCAGGCCTCGCTCTCTGCGGGACTCCTGAAGGGACAGCTGGATGGCCAGCAGGATGTTAGGGTCATCTTCATCCAGAGAGCCCAGCACTCTCCTGCGGCCCTCACTTCTCTCCAGAGCTTCTGGAAGTAAAAAACGTTGCATTAAAACAAGGACTGCTTTGTACAGCTTGATTGCACATTGATCCCAGTGACCAATGCCTCTGTGTGCTTCGACCACACCAGATTCATGGAGCAATAACTTAAAATCCCATTTGCTGGTTGTCTGGTGTAGTGACAAGTCAAAATTTATTGACGGAGGCAGAGAATGGAGCTGGATTAGGATCAAGAGTTTGCTTTTATATTGCTATAAAAAATCTGCCGTCAGTTGTATTTGGCAATACGTAAATGAAAATGCTGCATATACAGTGCTCTATACACTCTATACACCTTTTTTCTTTTTGCATAATCCTTTTTGTAATAAAGGCTCTTATATATATATATATATATATATAGAACACTGAAAGGTTTGCCAGACCTGTGTTCTCACTCCTCCTGCTGGTCTCTGGTGTGTTGCTGCTGCTTCTAAGGTTGTGCAGACTCAGCATGTCTCCTCTGCGCCGTGGCCTGTGTCTGCGACGGTACTGGATGTCAGCATAATCCTGCAAAGAGCGAGTCAAGCTGTGTTATTACAAAAGCAACTCTAAAAGCGGTGTTGTAAGTCACAATTTTAGGCTCAATAAACAGAATTTAGCCCATGCATATGCACAAGATGCCAGGAACTGCGGTGCATTACCTGTGACTGTCTCTCTCGTTCTCCTGCTCCCAGTACAGAGTGACGACTCCCCATCTTAACACACATAAGCAAACTCAGTCAGCTGCAGCCACAGTCGTGCATTAGATGACTTAGGTCACTAAGCAGGTTAAGGGAATAGCATTAGCGTGAACCAAAAGTTAACAGAACATAAAAAAGGTGTGTGGTGGTACAGGAGGAGTTTCTGTTCACCTCTGGGGAGGCAAAGCCAAGGTACTCCCAGTCCCATGATCCTCCAGGGTAACTGAACGAAACGTAAACACACAAAGCAGATGACTCAAAGTTTGTAATCAGATATTCACTTTTACTTTGTCTTCTTCATCCCTGCCGATGGAGGGATGAAGCAAACGAAAACCTTTTACTGTTTGAGTATGTGTGAGTGTGTTTGTCCATACTTCCTGCGTGGAGGCTCAGGAGAATCATTCGGAGCGACGCCACGGGCAACTGATGCCAGGAATTCTTGCCTCTTTTGCTGCACCAGACGGGCCGCGCTGATTATCTTGTGGCAGGGCGTCCTCAGGTACGGTCGGTTGACCTTCTGGGCCAGATCCTCCACAACCATCTCCAGGTCCGTCTGGGAAGAAACAAAAGACAATATGTTAACTTCCATCTGTTCACAAACTCTAATCTAAAAAGGGATTTGCAACAGATAAGACATGAGCAGAGTATATTTTGAGTATTCTTTATCTCACTGGAGACTTCATACAATTTTAAGCCTGTTTGAGTTTTCTGACAAATAGACAAAATGGAGGTCTGGTGGTTCAAATATTTCTCTTAGGCTCAACTCAGTCACTATAATCTCAACACTCTGTATGAGTAAAATAAATCCTTTTAAAGATGTCTTACAAACATATAGTGAGAAGTTTAAAATCAGTGATTTATAACGAGAATACAAAACAAAATGTGCAAAATACACATTATAATCTGCACAAACACTTCAGGTTATATCTTAACCTACAATGTGTTATATGTTTAAGAGAGCTCTGTGCAAAATAATCTTATACAGTAAATGAATGAAAACAGTATCTCCGCTACTACAAGCTGATTTACTGTGAATATTTGCGAGGTTATTAATGTCCTTTTGACCTGTCGTCTAGCATCACCAATAGGTCAAATACCAATTTGTAGACGAGAAATACAAAACCTAATGTTCAGATTACCACAGGATTTACAAACAGTACCTTGTTTGTTCGAACACAGCAGTCTTTAGGGATCACTAGAGGGGCTTTAAAGTTGCTAGTCTTGTTCTTGCGGAGGCTACGTGTCACACATATGTATTAGATTACCTGCATGAGCTCAAATATCTCTTTCTGGGTGCTGCCTTGCTGTAGGAAGAAGCCATAAGGGTAAGAGCACTTCAGGACGCGTCGCGTCTTCAGCAGCTCACACACACCATCCTCAATGAACCGTGTGTCTGGAGGAGTGCCTTCACCTGGACCAGATGAAAGGGCAAAAACACACAAAGTTGGGTGAGAAAAGATTGGTTTATTTTTATTTTAATGACACTATCAACCTCATGTTTGTCAAGAATAATAAGACACTAGTACACAGACTATTACAGCCTCGGCCTTTCCTGCAGCAATACGGCTAGTCAGTACTATACTGCAGACAGCTTTCATGTATTATAATTAAAACAAAACGCACCATAAATCTTGTATTGGTTGAAAGGAACATACTTGAGCAGCTGACAAGCAGCTAACTCAACTTCCCAACAACATGCTGAGATCAGTATGAGAGAGACTCACGACAAATGAAAGCTCTGCTCAGCTGCTCCATCTTCTCTTTCGCTGTTTTCAGCAGTTTCTGCTCCAACTAACAGACCAGAAAAGAGAATACACATGATCATCAGATTCTAACGCATGTCCCAAGAAGCATTTTAGTGTGTGTGGATGTGTGTATTACCTTGTAACTGTGTTCGTGGTTCTTGAAGCGAGTATAATAGTGCATGAAACGGTCCAGCTCCTGAAAACTTTTGTGCTTCTTCTCTGCCTGTAAGAAAATGCAACTCAATTCAGATGGCTTTTATGTGGACACATTCTGTGAGCATGTTTACATCAGTGAAAGCTGTATTTTTCTCAGTGTGTGTTTATACCTCTACAGTCATCTCCTTGGACTGCTCCTCTAGCTGTTGGATGACCTCGTAGCGAGTACAGCGATAGTAGCCTCCTGTGGACGAGCTGTGCTTCTTCCACTCCTCCAGACAGATCCAACAGAAGTCATACTTACACTACAGAGCGAGAGAGCAGAGATAATTTCATGATTCTAACTAAATACAGAATTATTTATACTTTATTTATGCTCATTGTACAAATGATGACACACAGCAGATTAATGTTTTTACCTTGGCACACTGCATATGGTTGCAGCCCTCATTTTTCTGAATGGGTGACTTGCAGTTGGCACACGGTTTGGAGTTGGTCAACAGCCACAGGCAGTTAGCAGCATCCTCATAGGCCTCACTCACACCTGCCACTGTGGAAAGTACAAACACACACAAGCAGCATCTCAACTGTTAAACACCTGTCCTGCAGATACACCCTCCAGCTCACGCATTTGGCAAATATCATTGACCTGAACACCTGCCAATACGTCAGAAATATACATTAGACACATCCTGGTAGGCCGTACTAACAGCTGCTGTTAACTGGCTTACTGAGGTGCAGCTGAAATGATCCCCAGTAACACTAAAAAACAAAGCTGGAAACACAAACAACACAGGAACAGACTTACACTCCTCAGGTTTCATTTCTGTGACTTTCTGGAGCCAGTTCCTCCACATCTGACAGTCACATGGCTCATGGGCCTCGCCAAGGCACTCCCTGCAGACAGTGAGGGTGAGACACAGAGAATTAGGTAGTGAAATTAAACTAAATTAAGATTTCCAGCATAGTTATTTAAAAACAGGATTGGTTAATGCTGTAAAGCCCTTAGTGAACAATAAGGCCCGTGATGTTCAACACAGTGGCCTCTTCTTCCAACTGTGGGAAGAAGAGGAGGGACAGTGTGTGGTTTTAACACTACATTGGCCTTTACTTGAACAAGGGAGATTTTTGGTTTGCTAAATAACATGCCAGTAACAACGTCAATAAAATATTTGTTACGTGTATTTCTGTAGAGATGACTTTGAGAGGTGCATAATTGTATGCGTCTTTATGATAAATCATAAAGTGTACCAGCAGAAGAGGTGACCCTTGCCGCAATCGACAGCTGGGGAGGGCAGCAGGGGGAAACTCTGTGGGTCACTGTCCCCGGGGCCTGGGCGGGTGAGCCGCACCGCCCGCTCACAGCGTGCTGCAGGACACCAGCGGATAGCAGGATTGTTCTCCACAAATGCCTGCAAAGGTAGGGAGGAGGGGAGAGATGAGAGAGGGAGAGGAGACAGATATATAATAGAGGATATAGAGGTAGGTGAGGAAGAACAAGAGGCAAAGTCACACAACATAAATTTACAGTTGCAAGAAAAATATTTCTCTAGCTGAGGTGAGCCTTAGTAAGAACATGAGCACCAATATCTAAATGAGCGTATGGTGAGTGTCTTTGTACCTTTATGTCAAACTGTAGATATCGCTGGTCCATCTCTCTGGAAACCACACTCTCGATCACGTGCACCGGCACCAACTGGTAGCACTCGTAGGCAGGGCAGAAGATATTGTGTGCGTCCCCCTCCTGAATCTTTACATTGAGGAACCTGTGAGACACACAAGTTTGTACACAGGGAAATTATTACATAAATGTTCAAAACACACTGCAGCAACATTTACATACACAAAACACAGGTCCCTACCCTTCCCAGCATGCTCTGCAGAACTCGTGTCCACAAGACATGTCCACTGGATCCTCAAACACCGAGATAGAGCAGAGACAGATTCCACACTGCAGGGACACAGAAGGTAAACAGGTCATGTGATACCAATATAACAGACGTGCAATAAATCCTACCTGTATGAAGATTATAGATATATTATTGAGTTGTTGAGGTTAAATAATTACATTACATTTTATTATCACCATCATGTTGTGATGTTACAGCCATCCAATATTATTATCCCTATTTTCCAACAACTCACACAGCGTGGCGGATGCTTATGTGCAACTACAAGAGCATAAAGAAGAATCGTTGCTGAGAAGACAGCCTATGACCTCCTTTTCTCTAGTACGATTAGACATTAACCTAACAAATAATTACTCAGACAAATGAGACACATGGCATTCTGTTAAAAGTTAAACCAGAATAAAAACAATATCTGTATAAACATTTAAGTCTGTTCATTCATGTCGTCTCTAAACACACAGCTCTCATTTAAAAACAGGGGATACCTGCGGTTTGAGGCAGGACCTGGGGCTGTAAAGGTTTTAAGTTCCGACTGAAAAAAGACACTGTAATGTTTACTACATAGTGTATAGCTCCCAAGGGAAATATGTCTATGATCTTCAGCAATCACTGGGTGTCTCACCATAGACAAACCCTCCTCTCCAGGTGTGAGGCAGCTGTCGGTCGGGGAGGTGAGGGTGAGTGTGAGGGGAGAGCGTGGGGTCCTGGGGGTGCGGGGTGAGGGTAGGGTGTCCCAGGCATTGTATCCGCTGGGTGGTGGGGTGGGCATGGTCACGCCTGAGCGCTGGCAGCAGCCCTCAGCGTCTGACATCCAGGCTTCAAGAAGCTTTTCTCTGTCCCAGTCTGAGAGAGGTGAAACACGCATGTTTATAGGCAGGAAATGTGTATGAAATCGTCTCTGAATATTGCCATGACAACGGCTGGGGTGTGAGGGTTTGTGAAGGTCTCATGAATGTCAGTGTCTTCTAACAGACAGATACACACCATGTGCTCGGAGCAGGGCCTCAGCAGTGAAGAGGGGGGCTTGCAGCATGTCTGCAGTCTCTACAATCAGCATGTCCTTCAGCCTGCGCAGGTCCTGAAGCTTCAGTCCCTCATAAGGCTGAAAGGAGAGAGAGTGGGACACGTGTTAGGGAAGATACGGAGAGAAATACAAGAGAGACAGCAAGAGAGTTGAGGGCAAGAAATGTTAAGACAGAAACAGAAAGAGGAGAAAGTTATTTAACAAAAAAAAAAAACAGTATGAGATTGAGATATGTGTAAGGAAGTGAAAAATATAGTGTGAGTAAAAATGAAAAGGACAGGGATGTAGAGATGTAGGGCAGTGAGGTTGCAGGTTGGTGGCGGTGGGAAAGAGAGATTAGGTATTAGCATAGATTTGACTGCAGGAAGAAAGATCAAACTGCTATCAGCTGGCAGCAGCCGGTTCTGAAGACTGTGCCGGTGCCCTCTATTTAACCAGGAATCATGAGGCACGGTGTGTGTGTGTGTGTGTGCGTGCGTGGATATACTTGTATTACTATACTTGTAAAAAACAGTTTAGGTTTTTGTGAGAAAAAATGATATTTTTGTGACAAATTGGTGGCATTTGAAGGTGAGAGGTAATAATTCTGTCATAGGCACTGTTCAATGCAGATAAGTGGCACAAAAAAGCTTAGATTCGCAGTTACTCAGCGTAATGTATTGGTAGACATTTCTTAGCTGAACGGAGTAAATCCCAGGTTGGATGAAGATGAATGAGCAAGATAATACAAAACATTTTCAAAATATCACAAGTGGCGTCCAGTCCTGACCTCTGGATCCTGTGAGTATGTGGTGATTAACTCAATCATTAAATACATCGTGGTCCTCGGTGTGAAGAGAGTAAAGATGTGGGACTGACAATGTGATATTCTATTACCGACAAATCAGCAAGATGAATATCTCAGTTATCATTATAAATTACATTAACAGGACTGTAAGGACATCCCTTTGAAGTGAACGCATCAAAGTTGCAGAGTTACTAAGATCTGTGACCTTAACAAGCATAAAAATAACACGTTCATTTTTAAAATCAGCCAGCAGGAAACCCCCAGATCTCGTAACTGTGGTCTCACCTCCTTGTATTGCAGCAGGTTGGTGTCACCATGTGCGTCTGTGTTTGACTGCTGAGCTGAAGAGGAGGAGAAAACCATCTGTGACTCCAGGCTGAGGGCCAGCTCGGTGTGGTGATGCCGCTCGGCGTGGTCACAAGGCGTCAACTTGTCCTCATCCTCCACAAAAAGGTCCGCCTCGCTCTGGATTAGCAGCTAGAGGGAGGGACGAGGAGGAACAAAACAGAGAACAAAAAGGAATGGGAGGAAAAAAAGGGAAAGAAGTGGATCATGGAGAGGAAGAAGAAGTTGAAGGGGCAACAAAAGACAACAAAGGCAGCGAGAGGCGAGAGCAAGGGGAGCAGACAGAGAGAAAACAGGAGGAAAGGGAGAAGAAAGAGAAAACGAAGATGTGACGGTAGAAAAGAAAAACAGAAATACAAGAAAAGGAAGTAGACAGGGACATATAAAGGAAGAGGGAGAAAAAAAAAAGAAAAACAACAAGGAGAGAAAAGGCACAAAGTGAAAGGGAGCAAACACAGTTAATGAATTTCTCCCCCGGCCGTCCATATCAGAGTTGAGCTAAATTTTTGTTTCGATTCAGGAAGTGGATTTTCTTCCAAATTCAAACTGTATAATCTTGAAAAACAAGGGAAGAAGCACTACTTGGATCTGACAGTAATGAAACACAAAGCAGATGCTCCTGATGCAAGAACTGGCATAATACTGTCAGATAGGTTTCACTGGATGTAAAATCTTTGCCAGATCCAATAACAGGGAGCACAGACCGGCACACAGGAAAACAAAGCTCATCCTAAGTGAGTTCGGTGGCCCGCGCACTTTCTCTCACCTCCACACAGCTCTTCATGCCCGCAGCGGCAGCATAGTGCAGACAGGTGCTGTGGTGATTGTCGGTGGCGTTGACATTGGCCTTCTCGTACTGGCCTCCCTCCAGCCTGGCCCCGGTCCAGCTCAGGATCATCTGGCAGCGGGAGGGAAACCCACAAACACACAGACAACATTACTCGGATGCCAAATTTGTCAGAAGCAATGACTTTATACAATGCACTTTTTCACCCTGACATTTCTGTTGGTGCACCGAACTATATTTTGCCCGTCTGTACCTGCAGGCTGTCTGCACGACGCTGCTCGTCCCTCTGGGGTCGGGCCAGTCGCGGTGACAGCGCTCCCTCTGACAGCAGCAGGATCTGTGGGCCTTGGCACAGCACGTGGAGGCACGTCTCGTTGTGCACATTACGCTTGTTGGGGTTCCCCTCTTTACTGAACAGGAAGGACCTGGGTGATGCAGGAAAGAAAAGAAGTAATTAAATAAAACGGAGGAAAGGAAAGGACAAAAACAAGTTCTGAAGGAGTTGATGTGAGGTGGAGAAAGAAGAGATGAGCGACAGCAACAGGAAGAAGAACGCTTCAGTCCGAGGATGAAAGCCGGTGAAGCATACTTCAGACAGACAGATGTGGAGGAAGGGGCAGATGGTGGGATGAGTGGAGATGATGGGAGGATAGAAGTGAGTGATGGAAGTGAGATGGACTGTGAGATGAGTGTTGGTGGGTAAGAAGAGCAGCAGGGAGAGGGAGGAGAAGAAAGATGGCAGAATATTGACTATTTCTGTTTCACATCTCTGAGATAATGGACATGCTGACTGGCGGGCGCACACACACACACACA